TTTTAAGTTATAGACTAACACAGCTACCCCTTTAAGACTTTTTACCCTATAAACCAGGCATGATCCCAGTGCTATAGCTTTTACTGGTCTAGTAAATATTAGCTGCTTCTCTCGTGAAGATATAGTAATGTTAAATTGTCTCAGAAGCAATTGGAACGCATGGAAAAATATTTTGGGCTGGATTCAGTAAAATATACAGACTGATTCCCCACAGAGCCCTGGAGTGAGTCAGAGTGGCAGTAATGTTCAAAGATACAGGAAGTGGGATACATTCTGCCCTCAGAAGTCATCTGAAAGTCCAAGAAGTTTCAAGAATGTATCTAAAGGCAGAAACTGGCTCACTTTATTCCAGCCACCAGAAGTTAAATTCTGCTAAGTGGTGAAGTGATTCTATAGTTAGAAGATAAAACAACCCCAAATATAAACCTCTCCCAATGTATTCCCCTTTAATATACAGCATACAGCTAGCGATCACTAAATATAGAGTATGCAAAAGTGTTAAGAAGATAGTAGGAGAAAAGATGAAAAATCAAGATTTATGTACTTCAATGCCCTAGCCCAAATGTAACAGGTGATATTAAGTTCATTGAAATAGCGAAGTGCTCATATAGAAAAATTGCTGGTACTGAGACCCAACAGATGTTATAAACAGAGAAAAGAATTTGGAGTTGACAAAGTCTGCAGGACAAAGACAAGTGTTAAGAAGATAGTAGGAGAAAAGATGAAAAATCAAGATTTATGTACTTCAATGCCCTAGCCCAAATGTAACAGGTGATATTAAGTTCATTGAAATAGCGAAGTGCTCATATAGAAAAATTGCTGGTACTGAGACCCAACAGATGTTATAAACAGAGAAAAGAATTTGGAGTTGACAAAGTCTGCAGGACAAAGACATAGGGAATCCAACACATTGGGGGGGGGGGGGGAAATAACTTTATGAACTGAAATTACATTTTGAGTGGAAAAACATATTCAACCTTCACATAACAGAGAGTTATCAGTGTTTGAATAATTGAAGTGCCACTGTATATTTGCCTCCATTTTAGCTGACCTTTGAACCTTACCCATGCATCTTTATGTCTTTTGACATTTATGCAGCCTGAAATCCTGAAAGCTCTGCATTTAGACAACTAAATTATTGCTTGTCAATGTAGCCTTGAATGAAAGACAGGTGTTTTGTTTCAGAGTCACTCTCCTTTCAGATTCCTCTCTGCCCAAACTCAGATTGTTCAGCTAATGAATTAAGAAATTATTGAAAATGAAATCATCTTCCAGCCTTGCAAAGCCATTTAAATGCTTTGAATGTATGTTGGTAAAATGGAAACTAATCATACAGGAGCTTCACATCTGGGTGTTAGCTCTCTGGTGTGAGGCTCGTGGAACAAGAACATATTCCTGCAAGAATATGGTAGTGAAATGAACCATTCACCAGACTCCTGTTGCCTGTTGCAGATCAAGTTCTGCTGAGTGTAAATGCAGTTCTCTGCATGTTCCAGTCTGTTCCTTCAATGGGCAGGAAGGCAACATGCCCCAGGAGCCAACTCAGGATCCACACTAATCACTTCAAAATATATCACCTCCAAATTCTGAGGGAAAATGGGAGAAGGAATCTGTGACTGTAGAGCTACCAACAGCATTAACATGGAGCTTCACAGAGGTATTTTTCTCCTTGTTTATAATTTGACAAGAAGTAAGCGTTCGTGATCAGTCTGAATCAGCAAGTGGGCTCCTAGCCACAGAAGTCCCTGTGCAGGAGGGTAAGGGAAGGAATGAGAGCAACAAGCTAAAAGTGAACAAATAACAGCATGCACTAGCTGGGATCTAGCCCAAGAGTGTGACAATAGACACACACTGGTAAAGCAAAGGGAAGTGAAATGATCTGAATGGTTTAAGGAATGGCCTAAAATCCATCAGGCCCTTATGATGATACTCTCTGCAAGCATACAATGTCTAGCTATGTATCTGGGTACACCTCACTACTTGCTGGGGTGTCATTCTGGCATGTTATCAGGATTTGGACCTTAATTCCTCTGCTTATGCCATTAAGCAAGTGTGTGGAAGCCAGCTAATACAAGCTTCATCACAGTGACCTGCCAGTGACCTCAGCTCCAACCTGGAGTGATTACTTTTCCTAGGTGAGGTTAAGGGACTCATATAATTTATAACCTTTAGCTGGATTTGAACTACTGTTTAAGAGAAGAAAAAAACAGGTTTTTTAAATCCACGAAGCCACGTGGCTCCTGTTTCATGATTGGTACTTATGACATCCCAGCAGTGGCAAACCACTGATAAATTAACTGTGCTCTATTTTCTGCCCTTACTTATGGGCAGCCAGTCTGAATTTGGAGAGGGGCAGAGCTAGAGGGATTCAAATGACAAAAAGGCTATACATAGTTCTCTATGATTGAGCGGCAGGACTTCAATGTTTCCACCTCTTGTGTGTAACTAGAGCAGCCTGTCATTTACCGGAAGAACCTGGGTAAGTATTAAGTATGTGAAGAAGAGACCAAGTGTGAAGGGGAGGAATAATTTGACAACACCTGCAGCGAGCTGTACATATTTTCTTTAATCCACAATGGACCCAGTTTGTCAGTGAACTAGAAAGAACAAGCCATTGTGTATTATTCATCATTTTCAAAATGCCAACAGAATTGTACAAGACATAGAGAAAGAAACAGACTCTGCCCCATGGATGTTACAATTTACTCAGGAGTTAAGATCATGGTTAAATGGTCAAACTGAACATTTATGGTTTCAAATGACAACTTAAAGTCCTGACCCTGCAAGAAGATCTTAGCTCCAGTAGAGGTAATGGGGCTCAGAAGCCAGCAGGAGTAAACTATCAGGATATGTCTACATTGGCAACCTTTTCCAGAAATGCTTGAAACGGAACAGTTTTCTGTTATAAGTATTTTCGGAAAAAGCACGTCTACATTGGCAGGATGCTTTTCCAGAAAAGCACTTTTTCCGGAAAAGCGTCCATGGCCAATGTCGATGCGCTTTTCCGGAAAAAAGCCCCAATCGTCATTTTCGCGATCGGGGCTTTTTTGCGGAAAAGACTACTGTGCTGTCTACACTGGCCCTTTTCCGGAACAGTTTTTCCGGAAAAGGACTTTTGCCCGAACGGGAGCAGCATAGTTTTTCCGAAAAAACACTGACAATTTTACAGTAGATCGTCATTGCTTTTCCGGAAAAGCAAGCGGCCAGTGTAGACAGCTGGCAAGTAATTCCGGAAAAGCGGCTGCTTTTCCGGAATAAGTGGCCCAGTGTAGACACAGCCTCATGGAGCTCATGGCAGAACTGGGACCTCTTAAAATACACGAACAAAATCTAAGTATAATCAGGCCACCTGACCCTGCCCTCCCCCCCAGCATCCTCACCAACCAAACGGACAAGAAGAATCCCTCCAAGTGCTCAGCATCCCCATGTGTCTGCTTGAATGTTTCAACAACAACAAAAAAACCCACCCCAAAAACTGGACAGATGAGCATCTCTATGTGTCACTCTGACTCTAAGAGTATGTCTAGACTACATGGCTCCGTCGACGGAGCCATATAAACTAGTTTACCCGACATAGTCAATGAAGCGGGGATTTAAATAATCCCCACTTCATTAAAATAAAAATGGCCACCACACTATGCCAACAATCAGCTGATCCGGCACAGCATGGCAGTCTAGACACGGATCGGTCAACAAGGGAAGCCTTTGTCGACCACTCCTGTAAACCTCGTTTCACAAGGCATAAGGGAGCGGTCGATAAAGGCTTCCCTTGTTGACTGATCTGTGTCTAGACTGCCGCACTGTGACGGATCAGCTGCTTGTCAGCACAACGTGGCAGCCATTTTTATTTTAATGAAGCAGGGATTATTTAAATCCCCGCTTCATTGACTATGTCGGGTAAACTAGTTTACATGGCTCAGTCGATGGAGCCATGTAGTCTAGACATACCCTAAGACACCCTATATGGCAATTGCTGAAAAGTTCCATTACTCTGCAACAGCCATTCTTTTCAGGCCTGACAGACTCACCTAACACACAAGAGAATGGTAGTGAAATAAACCATTCACCAGACTCCTGTTGGCTGTTGCACATCAAGCTCTGCTGAGTGTAAATGCAGTTCTCTGCATGTTCCAGTCTGATCCTTCAGTGGGCAGGGAGGCAACATACCCCAGGAGCCAACTCAAGATACACACTGAATACCTCAAAAAATGTCACCTCCAAATTCTGAGGGAAGATGGGAGAATCAGTCTGTAGTGGTGACTGTAGAACTACCAACAGCATTTCACAAGTATCTACCCAAAAAGTGTTGTGTGAGGCGTCTAACAGAAGCTTATATCATGCTGAACCTTTGAATCATTGTGTGATGAATACACAAGTGATATATTAGAAATTGTATGCATATACTGCTGATATATTTAGAATCTGTGTCACCCATACCAACTTGGCAAGAGGAAGAAAACCACAAGGAATCATCTGACTGTGGGGATAAAAACAAACTGACTGTAGGATTTAAGAAGAAGTCACTAGGACCCCTCTTTCACTCTGCATTTAGGATGGTAACCTGGTCATGTGGTTAGCCATGTGAAAACAAAGCTGAAATGCTACTAAGAAGGACATAGGTGAGGCATTACTTTACCAAGGTTAGCTAGTAGGAGTTAAGCTTTAGTCCAATATAAGTGTGTTATATTGTTTGTGCATCCTGTGTTGTTACACTGATGGTCAGTTGAATCAAACAAAGTACAGGTTGAACCTCTATCATCCAGTATTCTCTGGTCCAGCAACATCCATGGTCCAGCCAGATTTTAACTAGCAGGCTGTCCACTTATCATGGGTGTGGCCAAGTTTTCCATGGTTCCATAACGTTTGTTTACGGCCACCAGTCCTGACTCTCTGTGTTCTGTGTTGTTATTTAGCTCTATTTTACCCTTAAATGTCTTCTAAGAGCCCAATAAGCAGTGGAAGTGTTGGTAATGCTGAGAGACAATACTGAGCTGTCGTGGTCCAGCAAATTCTCTGGTTCAGCACTAGTCAGTTCCCGAGAGGTTCAATCTGTAGTTGTGTATACTGTTCCCTTGGGAGTAGTAAGCCTGGTAATTACTGTGAGTGTCTATGACAGCGGATGGGAACTTCAGGGAGATGTTTCTGAGGGGATAGAGCACTGGGATACAGCAAGTGTTAAAAGAAGGGGTCAACCCTGTTGACTTTGCCTGGATGGCCAACTGAGGATGAGTGTCAGGGGGCTGACATGCATATTAGCACCAATAAATCTATCTTTCGTTGAGATAGAGAGTAACACTGTGGTCTGCTATTTTGTACACCCTGAGAAGATGTCATGGCTCCAGTTCTTAGCAGTTCTGGGTTCTCTCAGACCAAAGGCAGATGTCTCTCAGGAGATAAGGAAAATGCCTTGCCACCAACCAGCTGCACAGATTGCAGTAGTGACGGTATCCTACAGGGAGAAAGGAAGTCATTCTTCCAACAAGGCTCCAAGTCATGTAGGACTTTGTAAATCAGAGCCAATTCCACCCAGAAATGAGACAGAGCACTAGCATTTCAGAGAAGTCTTAAGATATAGATCCATGTAGAGCACTTGGCTACCATCCAACCTTGAGGTAATAAAGTTGGCTTGATTGGAACAAGGACTTCATCCAAAGAGAATTAAAAAATGTACTGATGATAAAGCAGACTTGGCCATAGCAAATACCTGCACGTTGTCTTCCTTGCCACTTTATCTGTAGAAACCATGGTAACCTGTGAAGGTGAAGCAGGGAAAAAGACATTTAGGGACATTTGCATTGTTGGGAGAGGACAAATAGTCTTAATAAAGTCTTACCAAAATACACAATGCTCCAGCTGAGAAACCCTTAGCATAACTTGAGATAGGCAGGACAAAAGTAACTTTCTCACATTTGTGAATCACTTACCTTGGGCCCAGGTTTAATGTCCAAAATAATTTAGAGCATTCTAGAGGCTGCTCCATGTGACATCCCTGCTAGCCCATGGAAGCATTCTTGCTGCCAGGAATTGCCGGGATGAAAGGATATTTCTGCCATGTCCTCAGCATGAGCAGCTGGATGGCAGGAGGTGATGTAGGAGTTGTAACAGCAGCTTTATTCAACCCAGGGATTAGAGGACTCCCCACCTAGCCAGATCCTCTGGCTTTATGATCTCTATGCAGTGATCAAAGAGGCAAAGAATCTGTTTCGCAGATAGAATTCAGTTAAAGAATACATTCCTTGTGAGTCGGGATGGAGGGAGGGGTGTCAAAGAACATTGAGAGAGGACCACAGCTCAGCCTGAAATTGAAGAAAGTAAAGACTGGACTGGGATATTTTTTAGAGAATTGGAGGCAAGAGACACGTGGTGGGGGAAGGATGAGGTATGAAGGTTGTAGCAGCATAAGCTTGGAATGGCCACATTACTCACAGGTCACCATGGTTTACAGCTGACTTGCCACAGATGAAGTGATAAGAAAGACAACTGCCTCTGGATTTCCAGGTAGCAGCTGTGGCCAAGCCTGCTTTTACAGATACACTTTTGGCTTGGAATTTTCACGTTGTCACTCAAAAATGTGCCAATTTTCACGGGGAAAGGAAACCCTTTACATGTAAAAACCTCAGAAAAACACAGTAGCATTTTTGGTTAAAATTAAATTTTGTAAGGAACAAAAAAGCCTCCCATGGGAGGTAGCTTTGAGCCTTTTTAGCAATAGATTGACTCTCTCTAATAGGCATTAATCTAGTGTGCAGCAGAAAACCCTCTGTGGGCTCTCATTAGTACTTGGCATTGATTGTCGTAAGGTAAAAGGAAGAGGACCATCCTGTTGTGTGTATCTTATTTGTGGCCATCATGTTAGAACATTGTGGCAATTCTCCAGATACTGGGAACACTTTGTTCCTTTTTTTGTCATGTATCTCGGACTCACTAATATTATTATTTAGTATCTGTATTGCAGTAGTGCCTGTGAAGTGCAGTCATATTAGGTGCTGAACAAACTCAAAATAAAATGTGGGCGTTGGCCCAATTGCTTACAATCAAATGCCTGATGACTTAATCAGATGTTGGTACAGAACTCCAAACGGCTGACTGATGAGTTTTGCTGAATGTTTACAGCTCGCATAGAGGCGTGAACGTTGGCTAATGTCAGTTATCAGGGTTTGGAGAACCACTCTCTTGCCGGGGTACCTGCAAGCCAGCAGAAAGCCTTTCACCTGCCTGCTTAACACTCTAGCACTGTTGCCCAGTTTTGTTCATTACCATCCTTTAGAGATCATCCCACTTGTGCCTGCACTCTCAAGACCACATTTTCAGTGTGCAGGGTCTGATGGGACACATATGCACACCTCTCGTGGGAAAACTAAAAAGCTCCCCTGCACTAAGGCAGTGCCAATGAGCCACTGCTGCAAATAATGCTCCACCTGTGTGAAATGGTGAAACTGGACACACAGAGGGAGAGAGTTTTCCTAGGAACAGAGAATCTGCTGGGGGCTGGTAGTGAGTGCCAGACACTAACAGGAGGAGCTTAGCCTGCGGCAGTAGCTAACCTTTTCCCTCAAACTCCCCCCGTCAGAGGCAGATTGCTTGGTATGAGCAAAGGTCCTGGAGGTCTAGAGACAAGGTGACTGTAAATGGGATCTGGAAAGCCCCTAGGAAAGAGCTGAACTCCTGCTGGGAACAGTAAGATTGCCCAGGAGCAGAAGCCATTGTAGAGAAGTAGGAGCAAGATACTCACAGATACAATGGTTAGAGCCCAATCTGATGGCCAGCCAACTATATAGTCTCCAATTGTACACATACCCCTTTGTCTGTGTTTGACTGCCTATATTGCATGTGCATTTTCAGCAATGCTCCTGGGCCATTTCCATGACTCCATGCCTGGAATGGTAATTAGATAGCTAAACACCCATTTTCATCCATAATGTCACCATGCTCTCTGACATAGGTGTGCAAATGAGTATGTTTTTACAAGAGATGCTCAGACCAGCTGATTTCACTTTAGGGATTTCACATTTGTGTACGCCTGGTTTGAGATACCAGTAAAACATAACTTCACAGAAACCCTGATTTTGGGACATGCCCAGTTTTAAGAGGACTTCCTAGTGCTGTTTAGCAGCCTATTTCTTTCCTCATACCCAACTTTGTGATGCCATATTGTATTGTTGGTAGTGTTCTGTCACTTCTATCCATCTGGTTCAGCTGCTTTGCCTCCAAACGCTGCTCTGTCACTGTGCATGCAGGACTTGTGTCATGGAGTTTACAGCTTGCAACAGAATAGAGACCAGAGGCACTTCAGGAAGGGAATAGGGGTAGGTCCACCGGTGCTGGAAGAGAATCACAAGGGTGAGAGGAAATGAGAACTGAGGAATGGGGCAGGTGTTAGAGAGAGAAGTATCTATCATCTTTTAAAGAGTGCAAAATCAGGGTACAGAAGAAAGAAAAGATGTGCAAGTTAACAGAGCTTACGTAGAAAGGCTAGAGGTGGAATCAGAATGGAGGAAAAAAAGGAAAACAGATAAGAAACTCAGTAATGAAAAACTATATCCTGGAGAAAAAAGAGCCAAAGGATAGATGGGTTAGACAGAGAAAACTTAACCATGCCATTTAAAAACACTTGAATTAAAAACCATGTTGAGAAAAAGGAGTGTGAGGCAAATACAAAACATATAGAGGATGATTTCCACAGGTGAAAAGGGGAATTAGATGTCCCTAATTAGGCATCTAAATCCTATTTGTGCCTTTTAAAATTTCCCCCACAAACATGTAATATAATGAAGAAAGAAAGAAAGAAAGAAAGACAGAAAGAAAGAAAGAAAGAAAGAAAGAAAGAAAGAAAGAAAGAAAGAAAGAAAGAAAGAAAGAAAGAAAGAAAGAAAGAAAGAAAGAAAGAAAGAAAGAAAGAAAGAAAGAAAGAAAGAAAGAAAGAAAGAAAGAAAGAAAGAAAGAAAGAAAGAAAGAAAGAAAGAAAGAAAGAAAGAAAGAAAGAAAGAAAGAAAGAAAGAAAGAAAGAAAGAAAGAAAGAAAGAAAGAAAGAAAGAAAGAAAGAAAGAAAGAAAGAAAGAAAGAAAGAAAGAAAGAAAGAAAGAAAGAAAGAAAGAAAGAAAGAAAGAAAGAAAGAAAGAAAGAAAGAAAGAAAGAAAGAAAGAAAGAAAGAAAGAAAGAAAGAAAGAAAGAAAGAAAGAAAGAAAGAAAGAAAGAAAGAAAGAAAGAAAGAAAGAAAGAAAGAAAGAAAGAAAGAAAGAAAGAAAGAAAGAAAGAAAGAAAGAAAGAAAGAAAGAAAGAAAGAAAGAAAGAAAGAAAGAAAGAAAGAAAGAAAGAAAGAAAGAAAGAAAGAAAGAAAGAAAGAAAGAAATCCCATAAACCTAAATGATAGAACCATTTGAAAGTTTGCTGTTATTATTTGTTCCATGACAAATGCCGCAGTGCAGTGTCAGCTCTCTGATGGCTTAAATGCATGAGGGCAGAAAGTCTAGTAAACAACAAACAGGTTTCCTCCTTGCCAGACTATAGACATTCCCTCTCCAGTGTACAGGATACAGACTGGCAGAATAAGAGACAATAGTCTAGGAGAATGTTAGTCAACATTCCAACACGGGGGATGAAAACGTTGCCACTGGAAGCTAGAGCTGGATTAGGTGACTATTATGCAGGCCAGTTTTGGCTGAGGGATTCAAATCAGTATTCTGGATATGATGTCCTTTTGTCACTGGGGAGCCAACGCAAAGGAATGATCCAATCAATGGTTCCTCCTCAGGCCCCAAGTGCTTGCTTTTTATTAAGATGATGTCTTGAGACTATGTTCAGGTCTACACACACTCATACAGCCCCATGTTTGTGTGGCTGGAAAATTGTGCCTAGAGGAAGGACTGCACCTGCATTAGAAGATGTAATAGTTGAAGGGGTACATGTAGCTCAAGGATCAAATCCGACAGAGGGTCCTCTGTTTAGAGACACTCAGGAAATATAAGAGGGTGTCAGAGTCAGGAGAGGGTTAAATGCAAAAAATTAGCTCACATCTATCTCCTCCACAGATTTTCAGCTCCAGAGAAGAGTGCAAGGATTGCAAAGGCTTCATCACCCATTGGGAGGAGAACAGACCCAGTCCTGGACTTCAGGACAAAGCAACTGCGGGATGAAATTCCACATTGGCAGAGAAAGAAGAAAACATTTTGAGGCAGGACTGGCTCCATGCGTGGTTCTTTGAACTTGTGAAGAGGTTTGGGAAGGTGAATCTTAGCCCTGGCAAAGAGGAGTTAATTGGCAGTACAGAGGTGAAAACAAATGCTTTTCATCATGGGGCTGTAGAAATAAAGAGAACTATTCATCAAGGGTTATAGTATGGTCCAAATCTCGCTATCATTGACACCAGTGTGAATCCGAAATCAATGGTATTATTATATATTTATTTATATCTAGGTAGTGCCTAGAAACCCCAGCCAGTGATCAGGGCCCCATTCTGCTAGAGACTAGTTCAGAATTACACTGTTGACACTGAGAACTGAATTGAGTACTATAGCTTAGATCTGAATTCTCTGTTGTACCAGTGCAACTCAATTAACTTCAAGTGAGGAGAGCACCTTGGCCCACAGCCTTCAGTTCTTGGAGTGACCACATTGTACTGACACAAAGATGAGATTCTGGAAAGGCTACCGAAATATTGGACTGACCTTACCCAGGCTACATTCCCACTGATTTCAATAGGAACTGCAACTGAATGAGGACTAGAGCATACAGTACCAAAATGAGATTGCTGACAAAAATATATTTTTTCAAAACAAACACATTTTGTTCCCCTTTTGAAACGGGCTGTTCTGTAAAATCCCCAGTCACTTACAATATTAGTTCTACCCCTTTGTTTTAAGATGAGTTCTTCCTCTGTTGGTTGACTGCACTCTCTTTAAGACTACATGTTATTTGTACTGGATTATTTCTATTTCTAAGTGGGCAGTTGTACAGTAAATGGAACACAAAGGGGCAGGTTTATAACTGAGTGCTTTACAGCTTTGGTCCACAGCCCAGAGACTCTGAGAGGCTGTAGTCTTTTGTTTCAGACACATGTAGATAAACTACAACATTTTCCATGACTGCTATAATGCAGAATATGAGAAACTCTTGGGATGCTTTAAGCTGCAGGGTATTCTCCTAGAGTTCTGTCCAAGAATAATCTAGTAAAAATGTGGACAGAGAACCATCGACCTCTGCTTTCCCCTGAACATATGCAGCTCTGATCAGTCTGGTATTTCAAGAAAAACAAGGTCCTGAACCCTAATCCTCAGACACATAACAAAGCGTACTTCACAGCTGTGATGCACAGCAACTATCAGCTCCGAGGCCTGAGTGGGTCCCAAGACAATGCCTCCTTTATCACCCAGAGGACAAATATCTAGACAGCAATATTTTCTGCTTGAATGCTTCAAGCATCTCGCGCAACTCCTGACTGAAAGAGAAAACTGAGCTGAGAGTGTTTGCTGAGTGATTATTTTAATTTACTACTTGATGTAAATCTAAATGAACTGACACCCAGCTCAAGATGGACAGAAAACAATCATAGGGAAAAAAAAGAAAGAAGGCTAATATTACAATATCATTTGAGAAGCACAGGTTTTGGCAACTTTAGCAATGGCAGTGTAAGTGATAGGGAGAAAGAGCCTGTATTCTGTTTTCTTCCCTCAATTACCAGAGTAAGTTCTGTAATTTTGGGGCTGTTTATTTATCAGACAACGATAACAAAGGAGCACAGAAAGTGTTGTCTGGATGGAAGATGACAAAGCACGACAGAGAAAGCACTTACCTGCAGGGCGATTGCTGGTTTTCATGCACCTGGTTATTCTTTTCTGCATTTGGAAGCAAAAATAATCTTTTTTGTTTGAAATTGCCAAAATGAAACTCATTCTGGGGTCTGACTGGGGGTAGGGAAGATAGGAAAGCAAGAAAATGTCCACGTGAAGTTGTGGAATTCTTTAAAACAATGCCATATTACTGTCAATTTGCTATACTGAGCATCCTCATATAAGCAATGTGGTAGGGACCTGACCTAACTGCTTTGGGAATTCTGTCACTGCTGGGCTGACATCTGGGCTTCAATGTTCCGCACAGCACCATAGAGTAGCTGCACAGCAGTCGCTATGGTTGAGTGTATGCACTGGATCAAAATTAGACTGTTTTGGGTTGTGCATACAGACTCTCATTTTGCCCGGACCTCCCATGGCTGGACATAGTGAGCCTCCCTATTGGTGTGGTCCCTGTGCTCAGAGGTGTGTGGTTTCTTTTGTCTCACTTACTGCTTCATGCCTTACTTGCATGGCCCCCAGTGGAGCAAGGCAATAATGCAGGGCCACAGCTCTGCTTCCACAAAGACCGGTAGTAGATACATAATCTTTCAGAATTTTGGGAGGGACACATAGACTGCTTCCTGGTGCTCCTCCTGGGATGGACCATTTGGCACTGCCCCAATCATGGGCCAGTGTCTCCAGGACATCACTGAGTCTGAAGTCTTTCAGCACTCTGGAGAGCCACATCACACTATGGTATGCTGCTTCAATCTATCTGTAAAGGGTTTTGATTCCAGCTTGGTCTATCCAGAGGTACGTTGTGATATTACTGGGTGGAAACCCTAGTTAGTTTTATTATTGTTCTAACAATGCATGTGCATAATGTCTTACAGAACACTTTGAAAATGTATGCATTTTTTTTTTTAAAAAGCAAACAAACCATAAAAGTTCCACTTAGCATCTGCAAATGGAAAATCCTATAGAATTTAACAGGGATGCAATCAGTAGGGTTCCACAGAAAATATTTTAAAAGCCTACAGGTGTTAGTCTAGAGCAATATACCCTAGAGTAAACGTGTTTGAACCACTATCCTGTAGAACACTGTAGCAGGGCTGTAATTTTATATTCAGTTCTACAGGATGGTTCAAGTAACCTATAGAACTTTTTTTTATTTAATTCTATATGACTTCTATGAAAAAAATAGCATCTCATGGTCATATTCAATTCTACCAGCATGGACATATTTCTATAAGGTGTAAATGTACAGATAGGCATACCACATAGTGCCCCACGTTAACATACATATACATACAGAATTCTGAATGTGTACTGTGTAATTGCAGCAGTTAATATCAACAAGAGTTATCAATTGTATTCATTAAAGCTGGCTTTTGTTATTTACTATACCATATACTAAAATCTCTAGAATGGTAACCTAACCGATTAAAATTTTTTGTTTAAGTAAACTTGAATCAGCATGATACAAAGCAAAATTTATACTGTGTGACATTGATCTCTGGTTGCGAACTGAAAGCTTGAGACAAAATACCAGTTCAACACAGTGAATTGAAACAATTTCACTAAGTGGCAATTTACATTGTGCACTGTGGACATTTTTGCCAAGTA